TGGACTCCTGCAGATATGCAGCTGTTCCCTGGTGTCCATGGGAGATGGGTGCCAGGATCCCCCTCAGACACTTAAATCAGCAGACGCTCAAGTCCCTGATATAAAACAGCACAGGATCTTCATAAAACCTGCACACATTGTCTCATTTTTAAAAATATTTATTTGAATGGTAGAGTTACAACAAGAGAGGGAGAGACAGAGAGATCTTCCATCTACTGGTTCACTCCTCAAATGGCTGCAAAAGCTGGAACTGGGCTGATCTGAAGCCAGGAGCTTCTTCCAGGTCTCCCACATGGGTGCAGGGGCCCAAGCACTGAGGGGACCATCCTCTGCCTCTTCCCCAGGCACATTATCAAGGTACTCGAACTGGTGTCCTTACAGCATGCTGGTGCCACAGGCCATGGTTCCACCTGCACATAGTCAATCCAGACCAGACACGACTGTTTCCCCCCCCCCCCCCAAACATTTCCCATCATTGGCTGAGTCCTTGGACGCAGAAGCTGTGGCTGTGGGTGTGGAGGGAAACTCCAATTGCTGTAGATGTGCAGTTGGACCCTCCTGCAGGCCAAGGCAGCAGTGCTCTCCCATGGCTGCACTTGGAATTCCCTGGGCATTCCCTGATTCCCGGGCTGCCTCTTAGATCCATTGAGTCAGCGGCATCTCAAGGAGTTGGCACCGAGCTGTCAATATTTTTAAGACCTCGGTAACATGGGTGTCCATGCAAGGTTGAATACCATTTCTTTATGAGAATTTGAGGATTACACCATTTTCCATTAAGATAAAGTACATGCTCAGTTATAACTCAAGTCACTAACCTGGTCAAAGTTTAAAAAGTGCCATTGTTTTTTGTGAGTTTTTGTCATCAGCGCCCTTGAAGTCAGTCATAGGTGTTTCCCTAACCTTTTTGTTTTTAAATATTTTATTTTATTTATTTGAAAGGCAGAGTTACAGAGAGAGGTAGAGCCAGAGCCAGAGCCAGAGCGAGAGAGATAGAGAGAGAAAATCTTCCATCTGCTGGTTCATTCCCCAGATGGCCGCATTGGCCAGAGCTGAGCTGATCTGAAGCCAGGAGCCAGGAGCTTCTTCTAGGTCTCCCACGTGGGTGGCAGGGGTCCAAATACTTGGGCCAGCCTCCATTGTGTTTTCCAGGCCATCAGCAGGGAGCTGGATCAGAGGTGGAACAGCTGTGATACAAATCGGCACCATTTGGAATGCTGGCATCACAGGCTGTGGCGTTACTACGCCACCATGCCGGCAGGGTATCCAGGATTCTCCCTAAGCATGTATTAGACCTTTTTTAGGCTTTGTAGAATGTTCCCTGCTCGGAACTCCTCTCACTCCTTTTGTCTTACCGCCTTTTTTGGTGCAATTTGAAAATCCATGACCAGGTTTCTTTCTCTTAGAGAGCTCCTTTTTGTCATTGCCTAAACTTCCCAAGTCCCCAAGTCCCCACTGTGTAAACTGACTCTGAAACTCCCCCCATGCTCTTTGGGAAATATTCTGCCATTTATTAACACATATTGGGCATGAAGGAGGGCCTGGCTGTTACAGGAGCCTTTGGTTTGGTTTTTCTTTTTAAAACAATTTGTACTACAATGAATGATTTGGATACAAATATCTCTAAATGTGGCAGCATCATTAGTGTTGTTATGGAATTTCTGCATCATAAAATAAAATTGGCAGCTCTGGCAGTATGCTTGTCTCAGGGACGTAGGTATCTGGTGGCAAAGGCTTGGGGGTCAGGAGCCTCAACCACTCCTCCCAGGCACAGCGCTAAGGGAAGCTTTCACATGTGGGCTGGTCAGAGTTCTATCCAGCATGGGTAACCCTAATGTCTGACCCCTTTCACCTCTGATCTGAGAGTGAGGGCTTCTGGGGGCAGGTCAGGGCTGTTCCCCAGGAGACTCTGACATCAGCTGGACTCATGGTTTGCACCAGTTAACTCCAGTTCACTCAGTCTTCCTGTCCGTGGCACTGCCCATATGAATTTAAGGAGAGTGATATTTGGAGCCATGGTTTGAGCTGGTTTTCTCAAACAGTGCATTTTCCCTATCAGCATCTTCCTTGCCCAGTCTTTGGCATCAGGTTGCTCAAAGCAGGTGCTTCCAGACTTCTTCCTTCATATCTACTAGCATGGCCAGTAGATACTGCCCCACACCCACCCCCCAGTAACCTCTCAACTTCCTGTTTCTTTCCATCTCAATAGGCGATGCGACAGCCCAGCGTTCCCTCTTCTGGGACTCCTGCAGCAGCCACCTGTTTGTTCCTCCACTTCCTTTCTCACCCATTTCCCCCGTGTCACTTCCCTGCCTCAAACATTTCACTTGCTTTTTGCACTTAGGATGAAAAGCAGACTCCCTGTTGCGGATAGATTGTCCTGGATTTTGTCTCCCATCACCGCATCCCTTGATCCTTTCCATCTACTCCAGCTGTTATTTGCCCTGACAGTGGCCTGTGGACACTTATTTACTTCTTCCAGGAAGCTCATAATTTGATGCCTGGCAAATACTCTCTGAACTTAATAGCATAATGATATCATAATAATAACACTTTCTGCCACTTACCGAATGTTTTCTCCTACCCAGACGGTGTACTAAGTGCTCTCCAGGCATTATCTTATAATTATCTTGTAATTAAGTTAGTTGCGACAAGCTTGTGAAGTTAATGCTGTTCTTCCCAGTTTTGACAAAAGGAAAGTAGGGCAGAGAGAGTTGCAGTGACCTGCCCAGCTTTGTGCTGTGTGGTGGAGCCTGGCACCAAGTCTGTCTGTCTCTCACTAAATCAGCTCTGTGGTCCAGAAGTTTCCAAAGGATTTTGTTACTGCTAAATTGTAATGATCTGACAGTATTTCCTGGGGGACAATCTTAGAGTAAGCTGTAGAGTAAATCTTTTATGGAAATTGAAAGTGGATATTAATATAACGACTACCTTTAGTGGAGGCCATATGCCTTTCTTAATGTTTCATGTCTTGTTGATGGTAAGAGACAGTGTGGTGCAAAAGTTGGAAATAAACTCTGGCAGCAAATAGAAAGCGTTTTCATCTCAGCCTCTGCCTTGTGTTCACCTAGATCTCATCATCATATGTGCTAGGTCATTTTCTAGGCACTTGGGAAATGTCAGAGCGCAATCCAGTGGGATGATTTAAGATTTTGGTTCTGTAAGCTTTTTGTGCTGGAGGCTCATTATAACGTTATTACTCTTTTTTTTTTTTTTTGACAGGCAGAGTGGACAGTGAGAGAGAGAGACAGAGAGAAAGGTCTTCCTTTGTTGTTGGTTCACCCTCCAGTGGCCGCCACGGCGCTGCGGCCGTTGCATCGCGCTGATCCGAAGGCAGGAGCCAGGTGCTTCTCCTGGTCTCCCATGGGGTGCAGGGCCCAAGCACTTGGGCCATCCTCCACTGCACTCCCTGGCCATAGCAGAGAGCTGGCCTGGAAGAGGGACAACCAGGACAGAATTCGGCACCCCGACTGGGACTAGAACCCGGTGTGCTGGCGCCGCAAGGCGGAGGATTAGCCTATTGAGCCACGGCACTGGCCACGTTATTACTCTTAATGAATTCAGTTATGTGACCCCTCTTTGACCCCCACCCCTAAAGGGTCTATTTGGACCAGTCTTTGTGCCATGTGCAGTAAGGACAATCTCATAGGAAGGCTCTAGTGTACTCCCTTTCTTCTTTCCTTCCAATTAAGAAGAAACATTAAATCTAACTTTATTAGATATAATGAACTCAGGAACCTTATATTCTAATAGGAGTGGCACAATCAACATAATAAGCAAGTAAATTAAATTATGCATTAGAAGAGGGAAGGCATTTGGTGTGGGTGGGTAATAAGATTGCAATGGGGAAACTATGGAGAGCAGGAACAAGTTGTAGTATTAAACAGGTGCTTTGCAAAGGTCGAGACTTGTAGGAGGTGAAGGAGTTGGCTAGATGGGAATCTGAGGGAAGAGTAGACTAAGAGGAGAGAATAGGTGGTGTCCAGACCCCAGGCAGGAGCATGCATGCCCACTTGAAAGCAAAGTGGCCACTGCGGTTGGAGGGGGTGGGGGAGGTCCTAGATGAGGTCAGAGAGGTCTGGAGTATGTTGTTGGTGACAGTGGAATGCACTGGCATTCATAAAGCACTTAACACTGGCTCCAGCCAAGTCACAGAGCCGGCCTACCCCTTCCAGCCACATCTGCTACTCCCCTTTGCAAGTCCTTTGCTGTGTTTGTAATAGAATGCTCTTTGAAGACTCTCCAAATAGCCGTGCTGTTTTAAACTTTGCACGTATCTGCAATGCCCTTCTCCACCCGACGTGGTTCTAATAATCCCTTTTAAGACTCCTTCTTCTTGGAGGCTGTTGACGGTCAGTGACTCCCACTGAGGCAAGTCCCACTGGTTCTCTGGCCCACCATGCAGAGCTCTTCATATACGTGTTTGTGAAGATAATTAATTGTAACATATACACATCGTAACTGACATTTAATGGCACTTGCTGTGTGCTGTACAGGAAGTCCTTTATGTGGTTTTCATTCATTACCCACAACAATCCTGTAAGTTGAGTTCTGTTGTCATACCCACTTTCCAGATGAATAAAGTAAGGCATGAAGAAGTTTAGTAACTTGCCTCAGATCCCTAGCTATTAAGCGGTGTGCCAGAAGTTGATCACAAGGCACATGGCTGCAGAGCCCACGTGCTTGTCTAATCTTTGTACTGCACTGTGCCTCTGTTCATAGGAGGTGGTATGCACATCACACCGGATAGCAAGTATTAGTTTGTGTGCACGTGCCTTCCATTCCACTGGAGAGTACTTTGAAGGCAGAGAACCCTGTCAAATTTGCTTTTGTTTCTTTGGGGTTTTGCATATGTGTTCCCATGATTCAACTGTGATGAAAATGCAATATTCTCTCATATAGTTTGTAAGACACGGGGAATATTATTTAAAATGTTCACGATAATGTGTCGCTGACTCTGAATTTCACGTTAACCATGTCCTTGTGTTTCTGCTCTTCTCCAGACGAGTATTAAAGAGGGACAACTACTGAAGCAGACCAGTTCTTTCCAAAGGTGGAAAAAACGATACTTCAAACTCCGAGGCCGCACGCTTTATTACGCAAAGGACTCGAAGGTAATTTGCGAGAACACTCATTTCAAACGCCAGAAGTTGTAGATGCATTTGAAATTGTGGTTGCTTGCACTGTTTTTGTCTTGGAGCTCCCTGTAGCATCACAGCTCTTTCATGAATGCAGTGTAGATGTGGTCTTTCTTGCGCCCCATCCCTAGGGGTTCTATTTGAGTTAGTCCCATGACATGCTCCTAAGAATAATCTCATAGGAAGTCTCTAGTATGACTCTCTCTCTCTCTCATTCTCTCTCTCTCTCCCTCTCTCTCTTCCTCTCACTTTCTCTCTCCCCCTTCCTTCCTTCTAAATAAAATAAAACGAGATATAATCAAATTAAACCCAAATCTTATGTTTTCCCCCCTTTTCTGCTGCTTTTTACCCCAGAAATTCTTCTCTGACCATGATAGAGAGTTGCTATAGTTGCCAAGAATTCATGCTCTGGATTCAGACAAGAATTCGTGTCCTGTTCCCAGCACATTCCAGTGGAGTGGCCATGGATAGCATGAGTTGTTGACACGAGGCTTAAGGAAGATGATGCATGCCAAGTGCTTACATGGTGCCGGACACAAAATCCGTTATGCCAGCAGTCAAGAATAAGAATTCGATTGAAGTAAAGACTTGAAATAATTTTCATATATTAGTTAAATAAAATGATAATGTAATTTTTGGAGAAATTTTTGTGATGATAAGCCTCCACTAAAACCAATGCTTTAGCAGTGCTTCAGAAATAAACATTAAAGGATGAATGTTTAGCCTAGTAGTTAAGAGACCAGTGTCCCATATCAGAGTACCCGGGTTCAGTGTTCAGGTGCAGCTCTGACTCCTGAAACTAACTTCCTGCTAATGTAGAACCTTGGAGACGGTGGAGGTGATTCAAGTGCCTGGGTCCCTGCTACCCACATGCAAGACCTGGATTGAGTTCCTGACTCCTACCTTCATCCCAGCCTGGTCTTTCCTTTGTGGGCATCTTAGAAGTGAACCAGTGGATGGGAGCTTGCTCTGCTCTGCCTATCTCTCCCTCTGTCTCTTTGCCTCTCAAAAAATAAAATAAACATTGAAATTTCTCGCTACTGTGCCAGTTGAATCATGTTCATTTTTAGAAACGTATGGCCCTCATATAATTAGTAGAGGTGTAGACCACTTAGCAAAACAAATAAACTGACCTAATTCTTAGTTTATGCAGCCACAATGGAAGTAATAACGAAATACTTATGTAGAAGTAAGAACCAAATAAGATAATCTTATTTGGAAAGTCATTATGGCCCAAGCTGGCCCTGCTGTGGCTCCGTGCGGACTTGGCACAGCCACTTCCTGGCGGTGTTGACTGCCTGATGGCCTCCAGCCTTGGCCCCTGCCTCTCAACTGCAGGGTGCCTTTCCCACTGGCTCCTCTTGTATTTTTGCTGATTTGTTTTCACTTTTTTTTTTTTTTTTTTTAAAGCAGAGCCACAGAGAGAAAGACACACAGAAACAGATCTTCCCTCTGGTGGTTCACCCCCGCCAATGATCACAACAACCAGAGCAGGGCCAGACCAAAGCCAGGAGCCTGGCACCTGACTGGGGTCTCCCATGTGGGAGACAGGGACCCAGCTACTTGAGCCGTCACCTGCTGCCTCCCTGGGTGCACTTTGGTGGGAAACTGGAGCTGTGAGCTGGTGAACCAGGTCTCCAACCAGGCACTCTGAAAAGGGATGTGGGATCCCTAAGCAGGATCCTGGCTACAGTGCAAAGCCCCTCTCTCTCCCATCTCCTCTTGCTCAAACACTCTGCTTTCTCTGAGGTCTCCCTCAACTCAGCCTTCTTCTGTTACACACAGAAGAAAAAGTTCGATTTTCTTTTTTCTGCTGCAGAAATTGTGACCTTCCGTGGGATTCCATCGCATCTCTTCTCTCCCACTTTAATTAGTCTCTTCCCTTCAAGTGAGCTGTGTCTGTTTCGTCTCCTGTGATACACTGTGAATTCTCTTCCAGTCAGGGAACAAGACTTGTAGTCAGATTGGGTGAATTGAAGTAGACCAGCCTAAGCCTCTAGAGATCCTGGGCTGCAGAGGGTATGTGGAGCTATCAGAAAAGGAGAGCCCCCTCTTCTTCAGTTCTAGAGGTGTGTGGCTAGGCCTGCCTTGCTGGCAGGACCCTGAATGAGTGTGACCAGTGACTCCCTGATTGAAAGTGGCAAGCCTAACCTTTTTTTTTTTTTTTTTTTTTTTTGCTAGAATGTCCTACTTTGCTAACTTGCACATTTTTACCACTGACGCTCTTTTTTGTTGTTGTAAGAGGAACTTTTAATAAGAGTATAAAAGAAGTGGCATCTTCTGTCTGCAGAACACACTTAGCCTCTGCATTGAGCGCATGCATAGACATGGGAAAATAAGGTTGCAAAGGCTCAGACACTCCGCGTGCTCTGGAGCAGGGCTCGTTCTCAGCTGTCACTTAGCGAGCCTGGGAACGGTGACCTGCCCGGGGCTCCCGGGAAGACTTGTTCGAACGTTCCCGACACTGGCTCATGTGTGAGTGTGCAGTGCACTCTGCAGGCTCCCCAGAAGTGGTGGCTGTTGGGGCTTCCAGAGTGCACAGGGCATTTGCTCAGGGTGCTGGGGCTTGGGGATGAGGCTTTTCAGTTTGGGATTTATGTTACGGTTTTGCTCCTCCTTCCTAAGAAGATAACGCGAAGTAGCACTAACTCAGCTTTTCCTGTGTTTTCTATTCCTGATTCCTGACTTAGCTGCCTAGTCATGACCTGACAGCAAAAACGTGGGGGAAAAGCATCGCGTTGGGTTTTCGTTTAATGTGTTTCGTGTTCTTTTTCACCGACAGTCTCTCATATTTGATGAAGTTGACCTCTCCGATGCCAGCGTGGCTGAAGCAAGCACAAAAAATGCCAACAACAGCTTCACGGTAGGGTTCCAGTCTGTGACCTCTTTGCTCCCAGTTACACAGTGGCTTGTCCTAAGCGTGTACAGTGCAGTTGTCAACTGATGGTGAATTTATGCATGTTGAGGTTCTTGAATATGTAATGGACTCTCATCAGTACACTGTGTCTTCCAACATCCAGTACTATTCATGATTGTTTAACTCAGGAAACCCGAGGCTATATGTATTCTTTATTTATTCCTTTTTCCTTTTCAGATTAATTTTAGTGCTTTAAGTTTTTCACTTCCTTTGATACTTCAGTTGATTCCATTGTTCTTGAGTATTCAAAAAGTTTGTTATTTACTGTCTTAAAAATAAGATTTTCTCTTTCTATTTTTCTCTAGTTGCTGTCAATCACACAGGTGCTGTAGTTCAAGGCTTCATTTCTTCTCCCTTAGGTACTTCGTTTGCTGGCTATAGAAGAGGTGTCCTCTGGGCTAGTTTCTTCTTTTCCAGTCATGAACTGCATTGCTTTAAAGGCCTAGCTTGTTCCTATTGCCTGCAAATTGCGTCTCCAGCTCAGTTGTAAAGTCTTGTGTCAGCCGTGCCTCAGCATTGTCGTGTTTCTGGTAATTATTTGTCCTGACGTGCCCAGCCAGTTAATCAGTTCTGTCTTGTCCCTGCGCTTTCCTATTTTCCTTTGTTGAAATCACACCCATTCTTCAAAGCCTATTTCAGATAGCCATTCTTTTTTTGACTTCTTTCATTCAAAAATTATAAATTAGCACACTGCTTGTGCCAGGCATTTGGTGAAGCACAGGAAATTCAAATACACATATAAACACATTATATATATATGTGTGTGTGTGTGTATTATATATACATATCAAAAGTTTTTCGTGTATTTGTATAATGCTTATAATTTTAAAAATTATTGTACACGCACACAGACATTCCATTTCCCTCAAAACAGTCACACTGTCATTGTGTAGTTCAGGGAGTTCACGTGGGGCACTCTTTACCTATTCCTAAGTTCCAGTAAGATGCGTTGCTTTGTTTGTGTTCTCGCCCCCTCCCTGACGTGTGTTGTGTCCATCCCCTAGGCATGCCAGGGCAGGGAAGACAGCCAGATAAACAAGTGCAGAGCAGTGCCATGATGGAGGTGAGCGCTGGTAGGGGTAGGGGTGGGGGAGGAAGCAGATGAACTCTAATTTAGTCGTATTGATTTATGGACATGTGGGATAACTCAGAGTGTAAATATTCCATTCCCTCTCCCCCATCCCAAGGGAGAGTTTAGTTTGAGAAGAGAAAAGCCAAGAATAGAATCCTGGGAAAAATGTTAACATTAAGGTTTGACCAGTAAAGACAGAGGGGGAGCATTCTTAAACGTAGAAGGAGAACCAGGAGGCAACCGTGTTGTAAAAACCCAGTGGAGGGGAGTGTGAAGATGGGAGTCGTTCAGTATCACATACTGTGGACAGCTCAAGTCAAAGAAGAATTGAATCCCCTTGATGGGAGTAGTGTCGGCGGAGGGGTGGCCTGCATCAGGCTGCACCGGGATAAGTGACTTTCTCTCCAAGGTTTGCTATTACAAGGAGAACAGGTTTACCTAGAAGGATGTTTAGGCTGGAAGAGTTTGGATTTTGTTATTGCTCCTTTTCTTCTGTTTGGTTGTGAGTGTATTTATGTGAAGCAGGGGAGGGATGTTAGAATTGGAAGGTGAAGATGCAGGAGGGAGAGGGGTGGGGGCATGAGGGCTGAGTCAGCTGAAGGTGTGGGAACCAGAGTGTAAGTTCAGAGATGAGCACTGGACAGGAGCGGAGAACTTACAGAGGCAGGGATGTGCAGCAATTCATGGGTTTCAGACCTGAATCCTATTATTTCTCCATGAAAATAAAGGACCAGGTTATTTATTATAAGTGAGACGTTAGGAAGGGTTGGGGTAGTTTTTGTAAAAAGAAAAAGGGTGTTGAAACTGAACAGGGAGGTCACATGGAAGGAAATACAAGGGGTCTTCAAAAAGTTCATGGAAAATGTTTATTATGGAAAAGTTGTGTGTAGATTTCACATTGCTTTTGCAGTGCAGTAAACTCCTATACTTCTACAAACTTTTTGAAATATCCTTGTAATGTCTACCAAAATATTGGAGATCACACTTAGTAATGCCCTTTCCTATGCTTACAGCATTTTTCTTAAATGGAAGTGCAGAACAAACAAATGAATTGATCCAGGGTTGATGGTTTATAGGACATATCGGACAGAAAGATAAAGGGATGGCTAGGTTGAGGGATCAATAACTCATCCATCTTCCTCCTCTGACGTCTCAGTTTTTGAACATAAGACATAGGGAATAAGGGACAGCTGTATTAATGGGTAAAAGGATCCAATAACCGCGGAACACAGGGCTTTTGATAAATTGTCAGAGGCCTATGGCCAAAGTGTTCTTTCTCCTTTCTCCCAAGTGAAGGTGGGATAGCAGGGGGGAAAGAGCCTTGCCAGACCTAGCAATTGGATTAACCCCTTGTTCTCCTGGGTCCTCTTCCTCCATGGAGGTTCATGGAGAGGAGATTAAGAGAACCCTCCTAACAGAGATCTAGAATTAACCTGAGAGAGGGTCCCAAACTAAGATTTAAAGGACAGAAAATTTTCAAATGAAGACACAGCCTAGGGTTTGGCGTAGATAAGGGCAAAGGGAAGTGAAAAGCACAGAGTTGGAGAGCAGATTCTAATCTTTGTTTAGTTCTTTCCTGGCTCCCAGATGCATGTGATCTCTCCTGTTCTGTCTTCTTCTAGAACTTAACCATATTCTGCCTTATAGTTAGTTAAGTACTTATTTTTGTAATAACATCGTCAAGGAGGTAACATTCTCATGGTGCCTTATCCATAAGTATTGGTTGATTTGAACTGATAAGATGCAAGTTTATTTTAGGCATGAGACTTTCTGTTGAAATATTTTCAAGAAATTTCTTCTTTCAAGCATACATAATTTCTGAAGTTTGTTGAACTAGAACTGTGGGGACTAAAAAGATAGGCATATTGCTTAGGGTTTTACCACAAGCAAACTTTCCAGGGCATAAAATTATGGTTGAACACCAGCAATTGACCATCCTCCATACTTTTTAAATATTTCTTTTTTTTTTAAGATTTATTTATTTATTTGAAAGGCAGAGTTACAGAGAGACAGAAGCAGAGAGACAGAGAGAGAGGTCTTCCATCTGCTGGTTCACTCCTCAAATGGCTGCAACTGCAAGAGATGCACCGATCTGAAGCCAGGATCCAGGAGCTTCTTCTGGGTCTCCCACGTGGGTGCAGGGGCCCAAGGACTTGGGCCGTCCTCTGCTGCTTTCCCAGGCCATAGCAGAGAGCTGGATCCTAAGTGGAGCAGCCAGGACTTGAACCAATGTCCACATGGGATAATGGCACTGCAGACCAGAGCTTTAACCTGCTGCACCACAGCGCCGGCCCCTGTTTTTTAATACTTAAATGTCCCACCTTCCTAGATTATACTGCCCACTGCTGAAGCTGTTGTTTTGTCTAGTTCGTATGAGAAGTTAATAGTGTCATTTGATGATATTATGACTGGAGAACACGCGAATGGCCAAATTCTGCTTCATTACAGCCATCCCTCCTCCTCTTGAGGCCCTGTGAGGATAATACAGTGACAGAGGACAATAGGAATGGGGAAAATCTATCAGTAGTAAGTGGGAAATGGAAAACCCGTGCTTTGCCTGCGTATCTGCTCCTGACACCGCTGGTAGAATGAGTCAGGCGAGTGAAGGTTCCCCCAAGCTGGGCAGCCTCTGCCTAAGCTGAAAGCTGCTCAGCGTCATTTCTGTGGCCTCTGCTGATGTGAGTCACTAGGCTGGACCAGCTTTAAGGGGCGGGGATGTGAATACCATGAGAGGAGAGACAAAGGACTTGCAGACATGGTTTAAAGCCTGTTTACGGGAAGGATGCATTTCCTTTCTTGTAGTCCCCCTCTCCCATCTCTGGAGTTAATCACTGACCTGTTCTTCTCAGCTATCTAAATAAATTCAAGCATTATATTAGTTTTCTATCACTGTGTAAATGAACTACCACAAACAGTGGCTTCAAACAATGCCCAGGGCCACCGCTGTGGCTTAGTGGGCTAAGCCTCTGTCTGCGGCGCCAGCAACCCATGTGGGTGCCAGTTCTAGTCCTGGCTGCCCCTCTTCTGATCTGCTATGGCCTGAGAAAATAGTAAAGGATGGCCCAAGTGCTTGGGCCCCTGTACCCTTGTGGGAGACCTGGAAGAGGCTCCTGGCTCCTGGCTTTGGATGGGTCCAGCTCTGGCCATTTCAGCCATTTGGCGAGTGACCCAGTGGATGGAAGACCTTTTTCTTATCTCTCTCTCTCTGTCTAACTCTACCTCTCAAATAAATAAATAAATAAATAAATAAAGTCTTTTAAAAAATGCTCTTTTTCCTCACAGTTTTTACAGATTACATATCTGTTTATATGTAACTTTATAATATATACCCATACATATATAACTTTTAAACCACATTAAATTGGACCAGACTTAGTGCTTATTTAAAGTTATTTAAAAATTTTTAAAAACATTTTATTTTTGAACGTTTTAAATTTACAAAACCAAAATTGTGGGGTGGTAATATACAGAGTTCCTGTACACCCCTCACCTGCTTTTCCTATTATGAACATTTGATGTTAGTATATTTGTCATAATTAATGCGCCAAACCCAACTTCCCCTAATTTTTTTAATCCAAACCCTCTTTATTCCCTGCACCTTGCCCAGCCTCTAGAAATCAACATTCTGTGTTTAGATTGATTTAAATTTTTTTAGCTTCCATATATGAGTAGCATTTGTCTTTCTATGTCTGACTTATTTCAGTCAACATGATGTACTCTGGTTCCGTCCATTTTGTGGCAAATGACAGGATTTAATTATTTTTTATGGCTGAGTAGTATTCCATCGTGTATATGCTACATTTTCCTTATCTGTTTGTCTATTGATGGGCACCTTGGTTTATTCCATGTTTTGGCTATTGTAAATAGTGTTGCC